GATACACGCAACGAAAGGTAAAACGAGATTTTTGCAAGCCGCAATTTGTGCTTGTGTTTGCGTGTGTGTGCATGCTTAGTGGGCTGTATACATTCATATATACAACATACATGTATGTAAACTGTGCTCTTGCTGTCTCTGTTTGTGTTTCGCGGTTGTGTGTGTTTGTTTTGCAACAACAAAAGAAACAGCAGTAAGCAACTTAACAGTGAGCCGTATTTCTACGCATTTGGCACTTTAAATAAGCAAATATTTAGTGTGACCGCATACAATTCACTTGCAGCTTGTTTTCGTTTCGTATTTTCGAATTGCACACTGTCCCAGCAATTGTGCGATTGCGATTGGCATTGTGGGTGTGTGGGTTGTGAACGCGTGTGTAAGAGAGCGAAACATCAAAATTGAAAAATTTTCGCCTCGTTTGTTTGTGATTTCTAATAACAATACTCAACATCAAGTGAAAGTGTAAAAGTTAAAAAATTGTAAAATTTAACAGCCAACTGCGTCTAAAACTGCAAACTGCAAAAGAGGAAAATCATAAACAACTGTTGAAATATTGCACAAACTTTGGATTACCCTGCACAACCAGGAATTAATACTCGTTGCTTGCAACTGTTGCAAATCTAAAGGTAATCACAACACATCTGTATTAATACATACATGTATAGACATGCATACATATACACTTTCGCATATATACAAACTCACACACACATACATATGTACTTGCCAGCACTTGTTTTGGCTCTTCTTTCGCACAAGTTTTTTTTTTTTTGCTGTCGCGTTTATCTCTCTTGCCTGCCATTCGGTCGTTAAATATGTTGATGAATAATATCAAGAGCTCCCGACTATGAGATACCCTGTATATTTATTGTTGATTAATAATATCCTATTATTAAGAGAATTAGTTTGAACTCTGATACATGGAATATGAAATCCCCATCCATAAATAACTATATTTGTTGCCGCTCTAAAATCGATGTGGGTATCAGTAAATTAAAATAAACTTTATCTTTATCAGCCTTGAGTGGCGATAAGTTTGACATCTATTCCTTTTATAGCCTCTGAGGTCCGAATCAGTCCAAATTAGCTAAATTGACTCGACTTCTAATGTTAATGGAGAATATATTGTACTTTATTGTATACGCAGATGTTCCTTTGAATCTGTCAATTATTTCAAGCAACACAATGAAAAATTGTTTACTCAGGTCGTAAAATGAAAATTGTATTAATATGTTAAACATATTGACTTGAAATCTGCGCTGTTCATAATTACATCGATTATATACCGCCTCGTATAATGCGCCTTGTACACCATATTTTTTTTTTCTTTCGACCTTTTGTTACTGAAAATAGATGAAATAGATGTCTAAGTAGTATGCTTTCATTTTGTTAGACCTTGCTGAACTCCTTTCAATGGTTTTGTATATATGTATATGTACGTGCTCGTTTGTACTAAGAGTTCAAGAAAAAAAAAAAAAAAAACTATTTTGAAGATGGTATTATTATTATAATTTTAACATACACCTAAAAAAAAAAAAGTTATGTTTTTAACATTAAGTTATAGTAAAAATCTCGTACAGAAAAATCTCGTCGATTTTTTTTTCCATTACTAATTTTTTTCTGTTAGCATCGAGCTCAATTTTTGTAGACAACAAAGGCGCATTGTTCACCAAGGCAGCGAGGAAAATGGAAATTAAAAGGAAAGCTTGCTAAGAGAATCGTTCGGTTTTTTTTGTTAAGAGTTTCACTGTACTTGCTCAATAATGCTGACACGTGCCGGTAGATACACACGCATTCACTGACATGTGACATTTAAACAATTGTTGTCTATGAAGGCGAATTTCACGTTTCCTGGTTTAATTGCTGGCTATTGACCGCTTATCGATACACACAAACACAGCATAGTGTTTGTATATATGTATGTATGTATAGATTGGCTGCTGTAACGCCCAGCTGCAAGCATTCTTCTCACACCCTTATTGCGATCGCATTCATCAAGCTGTTATTACCGTTCATTTATCAATTTATCTAAGCTTTTCTCTCTCGCTCTTGCTCATTCTCTCTCTGTCTGTTTCGCCCTCTAGTTGTATTGTGTTTTAAAAGCTTTACGAAAGTGAAACTTTGTTATTTTTTTCTGTTTTGCTTGCCGAACGTAAGCTAATATGTAATGTAAAATTCAGCAACGACCTTACGCAGTCACAAAGAGCGGGTATGTCGTTGAACTCTTTCAAGCACAACAGCAAAACAGCAACAGCAACAGCATAACAAAATGTGAGTACGAAAATACCGACGAGGTGCAAAACAAAATTAAATGCATATGTTGTATACAAAACTTTACCGTTGTCTCACCACACACTCGTTCGTTCACTCATACATAAGCAATTGCGTTATAAGCCAAAGCTCGGCTTTCCGTCGGCGTCGTCGAGGCTTCGTTTCTCTTTGTTTTCATTTTGTATTCGTTTCGGATTGCTCTTCGACGCGCGTTGTTTAGGCTTCAACTGTAAATTCATTCCGTTTTGCTCAAATAGCATGGTTTAATTGATCGTTTTTTCTTCCTTCTCTTTTCTCGAAAGTTCAACGCGATTTGAGCAACTTTAGCGTTCATTATTTATTTGTAAACATTGATCAAACTGAAATTCTGCCTTATTTTACGGAGTATTTTGTAGCTGAACAGCACAACTTAGCTACCTTTAGCGTTAATTATTTATTTGTAAACATTTTGTTAACTCAACAGCTCAACTTCATTCTTCTGGAAACCCCAAGATTACGGGGTATCTTCTAGCTGAGTTCTAACTGATTAGGTATACTATGATTAATTTATTTTATTTAACTTTATAATTCGTTTCATTCTACTGGTATTTCTCTTCTCTGCCGATATTTATTTACCATTACGTAACGTAGCGGAGCTTTAACGAAAACAGATTTATTTCTCTGAAAACAGTTAAAAGCTAAGATGAACAATACGAAATGGGTGAGTGACATAATCACTGAAATCGTCTTAGTCTCCCCTTTAGTCGAAATTGACCAACACTTCAAACAAATTGTTGCCTAACAGCCGCAGACAGTGAGCTAAATATGTATGTGAAGCGAGCAAATTTTGTTTGTTGTCCAATCCAAAAAAACGTCACTAAGCCAATGGCAAAGCCCAAGCGAACCAGTTTGGAATTTCAACTAATGATTTCCGACATTAGAGTGCCTGAAACCTGTCGCTCTCAGAGCCTCCACCTGTTTAAATACGAATTCCATTTTCTTCATTGGCCCCACTCAAATTTCTGATTTCGAAGAAAACAATAGAGCGAAGTGGCAAGCCCCTTTAGGCGCCGACTATTAAATACACTTTTCAACATACATATGTATGCCAAACTTGCTACATACCCAACTAATTGTATGATTGATATGAGATATTTGTCCGAAATGGACGCTATTCATAAAGGAAACTTTATAGTCCAGTTGCTGAATGCTACCACAAATGCAAGACAATCGAAAAGTCATTATAGCCATCATATATTTAAAGCATAAAAGTTTTCAGGAAATGGATTGTCGATAGTTGAGCTGGAGATTTTTTATTACATAAAAATAAACTATTTGTTATTGCCCTAAGCTTAGATAACAGTTTCAAACTAAATAGAATAAAGAAAATGTAAGTCTGGGAATTAAAAGCCTAGTTTCAAATTCTTTTTTTTAGCTTAGAATAATAACAAAAAAAAAATTGTAAATTGAAACTATAAACAACTTTTTTTTTTGAGTGTACATTTCGATTTGACCCAGCTATGCGCCATCCAGCCGAATGTTTTGCTTCATTTGTACTTCTGCTGCAATGGATGTCTGAGAGCTGTCCCTTCCCGCATTTTTACTTGATTACGCACCCAATGCATTTCATCCATTTATTGCTGTTGTTTTGGTTGTTGCTTTTTCCCATTGTGCTCAAAGTAGTAGTCAGTCAGGCAGAGAAAAGATTGTTTATGAGGCGATAAAATGAGCGACGAGGTTGGGGATCAAATTCCTATGTAGAGAATTTCTGTGCCTCACATGTGCGGGCAATAACCAAACAAGCGCAAGCCATTGTTTTGACCAGAACAGAGCAAAACAGAACAGAAAATTTCACATCATTTGACTTTACAAATTTGACTCCAAAAAGAAATATTTCTGAAATGTATAAAAGTTGTTTGCTTAATAGATCAGACCATTTGCGTAGCTTAAGAGCAACATTAATCTGGCACGATTTCTATAAAGAACTATACTTTTCAAATGTCTAATTAAGAAATCTGATTTTTACATGTAGCAAAAGTTAGTTTGCTCTCAAACATTGATAGTATAGAAAATATATATATATATATATACAGATGTTAATTTCCAGTTTTTAAACAGATATAAATCGATTGCGATCTTTTATTTATTTTATTCCTTTGTTTAAGTTTTTATTGATATTGTGCTCAACCGGTGGGATATCAATTCTAAACGTATTCGAAAAGCTAAACAAGTTCTCTAATGATTTATTCAAACTATCTATGTGATCTGTGTGTCATGCAACTATATATTTTAGATGGTGTATTTCGTCAACAGATCTATGTGATCTGTGTGTCATGCAACAATATGAAATGCCTTCTCTTTCTTTCTCTATCTCTTTCACATGCTGCAACTGTGGCGACAACAAATAGAAGAAGCGATGCATAGAGCATGCGAAAGTGAAAGTCATCGCTAGGTGTTTGCATATATGTATATGTATGTATATAGATTTTGTCTGGGGAGTTCCAGATTAATGTTTTATTTTCTGCACCGCTTGATTAAGCGCTTCTTTTATACAATACTTCAAGTTCTGGTAGGTTGCAAAACTGGAAAAGCATTGTCGTTGCATTGTAAAGGAAGTTGCAAAGGCGCTCATGTATATGTCAATTGAATATATATTTTATAAATGATAAAAACTGTCAATTTCGACGTAGTCGCTTTTCATTTACTTTTTGACGAAGCGCACAAGTCAACAGAGATCTATAATCGAGCAGTTACTTAGTCTTCCTTCGATAGCGACGCTTGCATTGACGGTAATGCAGGACGCGACAGAGTTGCACTTGTGGGGAACGTGCCACCCTCGCCAGAATGCGCTGGAAATCACCAAAGATTATAGATTATAGATTATACAGCTTGTGGATTGGTTTACCTTTCTCTGAAATAGATTCTTTTGTCCTTGTGTCATAGCATCCCATTGGGCGGGCGCCTCCTGTAGCAGCCGACGGACTCCATATTTGGGATGCCTGCGCTTAAAGTAACGTAGAAAGTTAATGTATGGTAGCGGAGCTACCAAAAGTGGATTATCTAAAATATCACGGGCCAACGGAGCTTTGTACATTGTCTTGCCAATGAAACTCACTACAAACTGAATTTAATTTAATCCTGAGCCGATAAAAAACAGAAAACTATACCACATTTGTGTTCTGTTGTCTAACATTAACTGATTTATGATTTGACTATAGGCTGAGTCAGTTCATATAAGCCTGCTGAGAACCAGCATTTCCATAAGGTAACTGTGACTGCAACCTAAATACACATATATCCATATACATCCATATGCATATGAATATATGTATGCATATTTTATGCATGTAAATCGAAACATGTCGCATGAAATTACAATATTTTTAGTTTTCAGTTGTGTTCAGGTCATATTATGAAAATTCCTCAACGAATTCTTTTGCATGCACAAACAAAGCACCGTAGATAAGCGGAGAGAGAGGAGAGGCGAGAGAGCTAGCATCCGTCATTATTGTCGAGCTCACATGCCTCGCATAATACGCTATAAATATATATATATATTTTGACTCACTTGTGAACTGAGAACTGGCGCGCTCTCTCCCTCTGTCTAGGGTATATATGTATGTGTACATGTGTGTATGCAAATCATCACTTTTTTGTAAGAAATATATATAGGCTTAGTAAATTGATGAAACGAGTCTGTGACATTTGCTCATTCGTCTCTCAGCCGCTGATAAGGAATTATATTATATTTTATTCAGTTCCATTCCATTCCATTTTCGTCAGCTGCTCTATTCGAGCAAAGTCCATACTAAGACGCAAATCATTTTCAATTGCCGACACCGAACACTCTTGACTATCTGTCTATGTGTATATATACATATATGCGTTTATATATATATAGAATTCATAATGCAAGCATATCAGAAGCAGCCCCCATTGGAGACTTGCTATATAAAAAAGTAAATGATAAATTCTGTCAAGTTTATTTCCTGTTGCATAGCTGTCGACTGAGCTGAGCTGAGCTGAGCTGAGTTGAGTTGAGTTGAATGAAGCATTGCCAGCTGCCCCGCCGATGCGGCAAGGGCTTTGTAATACTGAAATTTCCATCCGGCTTACAAAATGCACATACAAATTAATATATACATATATATAAATTTATATGTAGCTATGTTTGAGGCGCACAGTAATTCCGTTTTATATATGGAAATAATTTTACTATTATTATTGTGGCTGTGACGCCATCGCGAACACTCATTGAATATATTTAATATAAAACATATGTATATATACACATGCCACATTCCTGAATTGTACTTATGTGAACTTAAGAGTATATATACAGGCATATATAGACTACATTGGTATTTTAATTTGTTCAATTTGTGCAAATTGAGACCTTGCTTTTATTCATTTTTATTCTACTCTGAAATGGTTTTACTTCTTGTTAGCCATATCTTCCGTATTTGAGATAAGCCTGATTCGCATTGTTATGCACACTTACACGATTTGATAAAGAATTAGCGGAAATATGTTAATCGTTCCGAGAAAGAGCTGAAAACTTTAGCCAGTTGCATTAAGTTTAGATAAACAAAGATATGCTTTTATTAATTTAATACAAGTTTCGTGTTTATAAATATACAAATACCAAGACGGCTTCTCTTGTTTTGTAACGTGCTAATATTTGTTTATTTTATCGGGGTTTTTAATATCAGCAGCTGCCGAGCGTCTACACTTGAGTCCAAAATACGATAAATGATAAAGCATACATCATAAAAATGTTTCGCGTCAAAGCTCTTGTCATAATATGCTTAATCAAATATTTGCCTTTGGCTAACAGCTGAGCACTTGATCAAATAGCAGATCTTTCGGATTGCCTAGAGTGGAGAATATGCATAAATATATATGTATATAGTTGGCTTGCTGGGCTCTGCGTAATATCTCTAGCATTTCATTAATTATAGAAATGCGCAAGCATTTATTTTTAAATGCTCAATAAAATAAAATACCATTCAGATGGTATTTAATGCATAGTCACGCTTTTCACACAGCACATGCATATAATACATACGAGCTTTTCACCAACCTCTGAGACCTTATCTTTACGTCATTAAATTTTGTTTTTCATTTCTGGGTTATTAACCCATTTATCTGGAAGACTAACTAACTAACTTTCATTTGGCAAATTGCATTGGTTGTGTTTACCTTTCGAATTCAAGTATTTACAAAGTAATGTTACATAAAGCAAGTAAGTAGTATAGCGGTACTATATTATAAAATGAGATGAAAATATGATTAGTTTAAGCATCAACTAATTAACACTAAAATATGGTTTGTTGAAAGTCTATTTGACTTTCGCTTAAGGCAGACCCAATTAGAATCAATGCAATAATTATAGCTGGCACTCATCCAATACATCTTGGGCAGAAATTCGCACTCTCAATATATACATAAATAATTTCCACGATGACAGAAGAAAGCCTTGAACTATATGCTCTTGTAGGTTCTTGTCCCGGTTTTGCGCTCCTCGACGCGTCTTACAATCACAAAGTTATTTAACCTGATTTCTACGTGTTCTACCAGTTCTCTCTAGCCGCACTAGTTGACCTTCATATTATATAGCGACGTTACGTGTTACGTAAAAAGTTTGCAGTGATTATTTTTTAACAACGTAGAAGTATCTTTTTTATCACTGAACAATATCTGTTTGCTTTACTTGCTTGCGGTTTATTTACCGCAATTGACGGGGTGTAAGGCGCCAGATCCAAGATTCTAGAAGGATGAGCATTATATTACAAAAATACTTAGATGAGTAAGTAAATATACATATATGTATACTATGTGTATATGTAAGTCTGTTATCTTGAGAGCAGCTAGATATTGGATATTGCGTACTCGAATTCAAAGCTAAAACTTTGAGCAATTTCACCTGTTTCTAAGTATTGGCAATGCAATAACGAAACTTGATTTCGATGCTGCTTCTAAACTTTCAACGGAATTCCACTTAGCAGCGCATAAAATGAATTGCATAGTTTTCCATTTTCCTTGCAAGTGGCGGCGAAAGCCAATCGATAGAAAATTGCGGATGCTGTCCACTGGCTAGCCGACTCCTGCTCGATTGCATTAGGCTTGACTCAGTATGAGCTCCAACTGTGGAGCTAAAAACAGTTTTGATTTGGTGATTTCATATCCGCTGCTTGGTTAGGCACACACACACACGCAGAGTCACATTCACGATTGTAAATTGTAAATTGTAAATTGTATTTATTTATTTGTTTGGCAAATTTGCATAGCAAACATTTGTGTTAAAGTGTAACAGCTACCAGCTTGCTTTAAAGCTCACAATCGCAACGAGAAAGTGTTGTTGTGCCTGTCACTGTTGAATATTTCACAAATTCAAGTCTTGTGTGTGCAGTCCGATTTACATTTTTTCAAAGCTAAATACCCACTGAGCACATGGGAACGGAGTTGTCGCTCTTACGACACTGACCATGAACTATTTTGATCTGCAAAGAATCGACAAAATTTTGTAAAACTATATTTGATTGTGTTTAAATAAACTTGAAATGAATATGAACTCTATCATGAATTTATATATTACTTTTATTTCTTGAATTCAATTTTGTTAAATAAATAAGTAAAGAATATGTGTATATACATATTTATACCATATATCATGTAATATAGACTTCTGAATAAGTATGTCTATTAAAACAATATTATTTATTTATTTCATATATATACATTTTATACTGACTTACATATGTACTACAATATAATCAAATATTGCCACGCTGCTAATATTAGCTATAGACATATTTGATTAGTAACACACGAGTCTATATGTTATACATATATATTTATATCTCGGTCTCACTTAATATTATAGCTATGCTAATGGAGAAATGGAGTCTTCCTACTAAAGTGCATTATATGCGCCAAATATGTATTTCATTAGTAACGGATACAGTCTCTATAATGTATATAATAAAATGAACTCTATATATTAATAAAGTATATATACTGCCTGATTCGCCGTATCGCTTCTTGTTGCATTTTTTTCAACATTTTTAAGGCTCGCTTAAGCTTTTGCCACTCCCAGTCTATCTGCGCAGCTGAATTGTTTGTTTGTTTTGTTTTTATTTTCGAGTGCCACGCCCAGTTGCGAATGAGAGTCCATTAATTGAGAGGAGCTGCCTGTAAATTCTGTATGAGCATCTGTCTCTGCAATGTATTTCGCAATGGCTGCGTGCAGGCTTCAATTATTTAAATGAATTGTGTGCATACATATGTTGCGTATGCCCAAATAATTGTCATGGCTTATTAATAATACAATTATAAACAATGCCAAACATATCTGCAGACAGAGGGGGATAGAGAGAAACAGAGAAAGAGGTTTGTATGCAGATAAGTGGAATGGAATGGAATTTCTTCAATTTCTGATTGGCAGTTGCCAAATGCTAAATGTAAAAATCTGGCTATACCTGAGAGGTAAGAAAAGGCACCAATAACACACACACACATATGCACAGCGTGAGCTGTTGGGGCAGCTCTGCAATATATTTGTTGATCTATATACACATACAATAGACGGACGTTGTACATATGGAAATTGTTACTTGATTTATTGAAATAGACAAATAAACGGTTAATTGGAGAATGACATTTTTGTTTGCGCGCAACTACATATTTCAAGACAATCAAAAGCAATTTAGCGTTCAGCTGCTGCCAGATGCCGCCATAAGAGTCGCAGCAGCAGCAGCCAGAGTAAGAAAACCAAAAGTGCAGCCCACGTTGTTTGGCATTTGGAAACGTCATTAGATTCACTCAGTACATTTGGAGAGTGAAGCGAATAAAGGCAACAACAATGCCATAGATGGAGAGAAGCTGCAGAGAAGTTCTCAGCCTCTGCTGGCTTGTCCCAGTTAATGGCATAAATATTACTGAGTGTGGGGGCTCTGCAGAAGCTGTGGAAAAAGTTGTGCTCGACTCTAACATAAATATATGAAGACATATGGTACACTCTTAGTTAATATGAATATATTCATATGTGTGTGTGGTTGTGTGTGTGTGTGTGTGTCGACTCGGAAATTGTGGAGGCTTTTGGAGCATGAAATCGTTGTACTCCCTTTAAATCATCATCAACAACGCCAGCATAAAGAAATTTTCTTCAGTCATGTTGTCGACTGTGGACTTTCA